TTTTATTCAGCCATAAGAAAGAAGGAAATCTTGCCCTTTGTAACAACATGGATGAAGCTAGAGGACATTATGCTAAGTGAAATAAGCTAGACACAGAAAGACAAATACAGCATGATCTCACTTACATGTGGAATCTAAAAGTAAGTTGAACTCATAGCAGGGGCACCTGGCTGGCTCAGTTGGAGGAGCGTGCAGCTCTTGTTCTCGGGGTCATGAGCTCAAGCCCCATGTGGGGTGTAGAGATTACTTAAATAAATCAAACTTTAAAAATAAATAAATAAAAGAAAGTTAACTCATAGTACAGAGAGAATGGTGGTTACCAGAGGTCGGGGAGCAAGGGGGTGGGTATTGATCAAAGGGTATAAACTTTCAGTTATAAGATGAATAAGTTCTAGAAGTATAAGTACAGCATGATAACTACAGTCAACGATAATATAAAGTATGCTTGCAATTTGCTAAGAGGGGTGCCTGGCTGGCTCGGTCAGAAGAGCATGTAATTCTCAGTCTCAGGGTTATGAGTTCGAGTCCCATGTTGGGTGTAGAGATTACTTAAACAAACTTTAAAAAAAAAAAAAGAAATTTGCTAAGGGAGTAAATCTCAAGAGTTCTTACCACACACACACACACACACACACACACAGAGTAAAGTGGTAACTATGTGAGCTAATGGATATGTTAATTAGCTTGATTGTGTTTATCATTTTACAATGTATACATATATCTAAACATCACATTGTATTACTTAAATACATACAGCTTTTATTTGTCAATCGTGCCTCAGTAAAGCTGGCAGGGGAAAACACCCTATCTCCGAACACAGTCACACACTGAAGTACTTTAGCATTTGGATTTCAACATATACACTTTGGGAGACACAATTCATCCCATGGCATCACTCAAAACTGGTTAAAAAAAAAACACGCCTTGAGAACTTTCACATGTAGATTAAAATCCATACAAATTAAGATATAATGGATAAAGTTAGGTCTTCAGAAGATCATGGTTCAGCTAGTCTTACTATAGGCATTAAATTCAGCCTACAGATGTCAGCCTAAAAACAAAAGAGATACTAGAGAGATGTTTGCAGTGTTTATTCAGCGCAGTCTAGGAAAAAGGAACACTAAAGATATATGTTGTGGGGAAGGATATAAAAGTTCTACTCACTAAAGTTCCTTTTTACCATTTAATAATTTAAAGCAACTTTCAGATTATTAGTTTCCTAGGTATCTTGATATGAAAAACTTTGTCTTGAATAGTAGACAGGGGAATTTCAGTCACTTAAAAGTGATATAGTAAATTAACAGACTTGTATTCTGGGGATGTATATCAGACTCTAGTGTGCTTGGTTATCTTTTTTTTTTTCTTTTTTTTAAAGTAGGCTCCATGCCCTTGTGGGGCTTGAACTCACAACCCTGAGATCAAGAGTCACATGCTCTTCCAACTGGGCCAGCTAGGCACCCATTTGGTTATCTTTGTCTACGAGGCACTGATCTACTCTGGACATATTAACTTACTAATCTGCCAACAGAGGAACACAATGATCACAGTTTATTCTAACCCCATGAGGCCACATTCGGATGGCCACCATGATGCCAGCCATCATTGGGCCCTCTTATAACAGGTGTTTGAGCAGAAAGTTAGACCAAGTCTAGAGATATAAGGAAGTGCGTTTTGGGCAATATAACCTCTTTGATCACAACCTGACCGAGCCTTCTCAGTGACTTCCTCAATGATCTGAAATGAACAAAAATTTGTGTAGTTAGCACAAACTCTCATTTCACAGCAGTGGCATAAAACTTTAAGGAAGACAAAATAGCCCCTTCTCATAGGCAACTTGTAGTAGTGTTCATTTGGAAAGTCTAGGGGAACAAGTTAAGGTTATGTCTGTAGGCTGGGCAAATAATTTGGATCAGGAGTGTGTGTGTTAGAAGTAAGGAAAAATTCATTGTGAAGGGGAAGACATGAATCTTCTGGCTTATTCATTGCCGGGTGGCGGGGGGCGGGGGTGCAACTGTTGAACTTAAATCAGTATTCCCATTATGGAGCCTAGACATCTAGAAGTTTTTCTTGATCTTTGACTCCCAGTACTACTATTTGTACTACTATTAATGATGATGTCTTCTGTTTTACCTTTAGCCATTTAAAGAATTAACTCTTTAACAGAAAACAGAACACACCTACCAAATTCAAAATTCCTACTTAGTTTAAGCTGGTGAAAGCAAAATGTTTACTTTGTACCTTCAGTATCTTATGATTCTCTCAGGGAATAATACTTGTTTTCAGTGTCAAGTTTCGTGAATTATAGTGTGCCTATTTAAAAAAAATGAGACGGGCGCCTGGATGGCATAGTTGGTTGGGCGTCTGACTCTTGATTTTGGCTCAGGTCATGATCTTGGGGTCGTGGGATCCACCCTGCGTGGGGCTCTGTGTTCTGTGTGGAGTCTGCTTGAGATTCTCTCTCCCTCTCCCTCTGCCCCTCCCCTCATGCATGTGCATGTGCATAATAAATGATATTATGAAAGAAGGGACTTGAAATAAATTCTTAAAAAAATGAGATATAAAATCCTGAAATTAATGAAAAGGGGCAAAATTGTTATTAAAAACAATCTCACAAGGGTGCCTGCCTGGATCAGCCTGTAGAGCACGTGACTCCTAATCTTGGGGTTGTTGGGTGTAGAGATTACTTAAAAATAAAATCTTAAAAAAAAAAAAAAACTACCTCACAATCCCAGCACACTATATTTTTCAAATACGATTTTTCACTTTTTGCATATATACTTTAGGAGCTAAAATACATTAACAGTTTATCTTACTCCTGTGTACCTAATAGTCTATCAAATGCATTTCCCATTATTTCTAGTCTTATTCTAACCATTAAAAGAAATTATTGTGGTTAAATTTAACTGACATAAAATTTACCATTTTAACTATTTTTAAGTATACATTTCTGTGGCATTAAGAACATTCACATTGTTGTGAAACTATCATCACCATCCATCTCCAGAACATTTTCATCTTCCCCAAATGAACCCTATACTCATTAAACACTAACTCCCCATTCCTGCCCCTCCGGCAGCCGCCATCCACTCTCTGTCTCCATGAATCTGACTATTCTAGGTATCTTATGTAATGGAATCATATAATATTTGTCTTTTTGTGTCTGGTTTATTTCACTTAGCATAATGTCTTCAAGGTTCATGAATGTTGTGGTACATGTCAGAATTTCCTTCCATTTTAAAGTTGAGTAATATTCCATTATATGTGACTATACCACATTTTATTTATCCATTCATCAATCAATGGATACTTGGGCTACTGCCACCTTTTAGTTATTGTGAATAGTGCTGCTATGAATATGGGTGTACAAGTATCTGTTCAAGTCCTTTCTTTCAGTTCTTTTGGACATACACCCAGAAGTAGAATTGCTGGATCATATGGTTAATTCTGTTTAGTTTTTGAGGAACCACTATACCATTTCCCACAGTCTAATCATTTTTTTTTTACTGGCTGTATAATATTCCATTTGTCTCTATACCCTAATTTCCTAAACCATTCCAGAATGTTTCCTAAGGATTCTCAAGTTTTCTTTTTTTTTCCATTGGATGGGAATTAGTTTTGGGTTAGACAATGCTCCAGGTTTTTGCCCCAGTTTGAAAAAACTCATATGCATATATCATTACTTTTGATAGCTAATAATCAAGTTGATTTTTGGTTAGTATCACCTTACAACTACTTCCCCATATCTAGGAAGTGCCCTATCCATGGGAGTAGGTCCTCTCTAGCTAGCCCTCTGCTTTCTAATTGGGTCGTCACTAGCACATGTCCAAACTTGAGTCAAATAAAGTGAAATAAAAATAAAAATCCATCCCCTCCGTTGTTCTAGCCATATTTTGAGAACATAATAACCACACAGAGCCTGTGCTACTGAATTGAGTGGCTGTCACAGATAGAGAACATTCCCATGATCCCAGAAGTTCTATAGTGAGTACTGCTCCAGACTCTGTTTTTGACTCTGACCTTTTGCCTGTGGCTGAATTAGAGCTTATGAGTTATTTCCAGAAATGATTTAGTCCTAGGGGACAGGCCAATGATAACCACATTCAGAAGAGAATGTCATAAACTCTAAAATATGAATTTCATAATTTATAATTGGGCATATCTCTTCCAGGGACAGGAATACGTCTGTGTGCTGTTTCCCATATAATTCTTCCTCAAAATATGAATTAGTGATCTTCAGTTTTTTTGGTGATTGTCACCTAATCCAAACTGGGCCCCTCAAATTCCTTCTCCTTCCCTTAGGAATTTGGAGAAGTTTTCAGTCAAGTCTTCTAGGTATCTAGGATTATAAAACCAGGAGCACAAGTCATATCTCACTAGCAAAACAGAGTTGGATAAAGCAACAGAAAGAAAACTAAAACAGGTAAGTAGGCTGCCTTTTAGGCTTTCTATATTCTGGTTCTTTAGGCCATTGGCATTCCTGACTTTGGAATCAGGACAAAAACTACCCACATCCTAATAATAATGAATTCTTGTATGCTTAAGCTAGCTTGAATTGGTTGGTATATTGGGAATTGGAATCCTAATACACATACATACATATACTATAGATACGCGTATTGACATTTTCACATTGTGGTATGTGTGGTTGTTCATAAACTTTGTACTTAGTCATTGCACTGGGCCTCCAGACTTCCTGTAGCCCCTCTGATCTTTCTCTACTTTTCCTCTTGCTTTACTTCCTTCTCATCTTGAGTGCTTAGGCTGTCCTCTTTTTTTTTCTTTCTTCCCTCTCTTTTCCTTCCCTTGATCAAAGTATGCCGACTGCTATCTTTCTGGGTGTGTAAGCTTTATAAAATCAAGCCATGTAACATATTAACAACTGATTTTATTTTTTAGCTTGTATTGCATTTCACTCTCTCAGGCCTAAGTAATTCGGTCAACATTCATTAATGAATGACTGAATAAATAATCCCTGACAGACCAAAGCAGTGAATGTTGAGCTTTAGAATCTGGCATGAATCATACTGAGTGGGGTACTTATGCAAGTCATGGCATGCTCCTTTAGATGGACTGATTGGAAGAGACCTCTTGCAGGAGGAAGACAGGATGAAGAGTCAGCTATGAAAAGAACACAAGCATCAGCATCCCAGAGGGAAGGGGCACATAGAAGTGTTCTAGGTGGGAAAATGCTTTGTGTTGCCAAGGAACAGAAAGGAGGCCAGTGTGACCAGAACGAAGAGAGTAAAGCAGAGTAGAATGGATTGTGGTAGGCAGGGAACTTCAGGCCCTAGAAAGAGGTTATTGACAATATCTGAAGAGCAATGAGAAAATCCTAAAGGGATATAAGTCAGACCTCATCTGACTTGTGTCTTAATAACAACAACAAAAAGTCCCTCTGGCTAGTCTGGAGAATGAATCCTAGGAAGACAAGCAGGAGAACCGTTAGAAGGCTACAGCAATTGTTGACCAGAAATCAAAACGGGTAGGCCTATGAGGATTGGAGGCCAATGGTGATGGAGAACTTTTGTGACCACATTTGAGATTCTGAAGGTGAAAATATAAGCTCTTACTGACGAAGAAGTTATCCTTTTTACCTTTTAAGTAGTCAGCCCCTATATTAAAGTTGTTTTAATGAAGTAGACCCGGACCCTAAGAAGTCAAGAAGGGTCCGCCTTTCTCAGTTTCATAGGCTTTGGGCTCAGATCTTATACCAAAGTACCTTGGGTCCAACAGTCCCCCAGCATAAAATTCTGCCATTTCCCTCCCTTCTCGTTGAATGAACTTGGGAGGTGACCGCTGAAAAAAAGGGCTTTCAGCAAGAGGACAGCGGCGTTTGGGGTTCAGTGGTACACCCTAACTTTTAATTTCAATTAATGTTCGCTTTTAATTTGGTATTGGTTATTTTACATTTGCACCAAGTGGGAGAAGGCATTTTGCTAGCAGCATCTTTCTTCATCTTCGAATACCTTCGAATTCACCGTCTTAACTCCAAACGGCCTAGAGCAAAATTCCTTCAGAATAATTCATCTTCCATTAAACATGAGTTCCCTTTCACCTATCCAAATCTTGTGCGCCTGGGACCCGCTTCCCGCGGCACAGACAAATGCACTCATTGTCTGTGCACCAGTCCCCCTGGATTTTATGCAGCGTGCATTTCCTGCTCGGAGCTGCTTGCTGGCTGCGTGCGTGCTTCCCTCGTCCCCCTGCCCCCACCCGGATCCGAAGCTTTGTTTCTCACATTTCCTCCCGACGCTATTAAAATGCATGGACACATCGTTACTAAATAAAGGAATGATTAGGAACTTTTCTTTGGGCTGTTAACCTTTAGGCCACTGTCCAGTAAAGTTCTGAAAAACAACTGAACCCAACAGCTCACGTAAAAGGACCAATCTACTTGGAAACAACGGAAACGTGGGCATTATTTCCCAAACTTGTCGCGTTCCGGGGACTCTTAGGCATTCCTCGGAGTAACGCTTTGCAGGGGCCTCCAAGGGCGGGCCGAGGCGCTCGGCGCGGCCGCAGCGCTCGCTCCCGCGTCTGCAAGGCGCGGGGAGGGGGCGAGGCGCGGGCGGCCCCGGGCCGAGCGGAGCGGGACCTCCGAGAGGCGACGCTCTGGCCCGCGCTCGCTCGATGGTTTCCGCGCGGCCGCTCGGGCCCGCGCGGTCCAGTCACCAGGGGGCGCGCTGGCCGGCGCCGCGGATCTCCGAGCTGCGCGGCCCGACTCGCGTCCGCCATATTGGATGCCGCAGCCGCTGCTGCCAGCGCTTCCTCCTCCGTCTTCGCTGTGCGCTGCTGGTTCCTGCGGCCCGAGCGGCGGGGAGGTGAAACAGGAGTCTGACGAAGGAAGAAGAAGGAGGGGGTGGAGAGTGTAGGGGACGGGGCTAGAGGGCGGAGGACCGAGACCGAGCGGGGCGGAGAAGAGAAGGCGCCGCGGCCCAGCCCCTCCCCCGCCCGCTGCCGACCCGCCCCGGCAGCGCCTGTGTTCCCCAGACCGGCGCTCCGCCCGCCCTAGCGGCCATGCCGGGGCCTCGCTGCCCCTGAGGGAGCCCTTCCCTGCCAGTGCCTGCCCTCCCACTCCCGTCCCGGGGTCGCAGCAGCCGGGGCTCCCGCCGGCGCCCCTCCGCGCGGCCGCGCCGCCGCCCCCGTCTCGCTCTCCCCACCCAGCGCAGTGGCCGCCGCCTCTTCCGCCGCCGGGCTCGGGGCCTCCGCACCGACAACATGGAGGCTGTGAAAACCTTCAATAGCGAGGTTGGTATTGCAGCCTCGCCCCCCCTCCTGCCCACGCCTCCCGCCGGGACTAGGCCCGCGGGAGCCGGGTGGGTGCGGGCCTGCAGGGTTTCCCAGGGTGGGGCGAGAGGCGGCCTAGCTGTGTCGGGGGGGGAGGGGTGTTTCTCTGCCCCGCGCCCCTCCTCCGAGTCCGAGGGGAGGGCCGGGGGAGGGCCGCCCCGGGGCGGAGGGAGGTTCCGGTGTCTCCAGCGCCCCATTGAGTGGCTGAGGGTTTGGAGGGAAGGCCCCTTAGGGCCCTCCCCCGGAGGCTCCTGGCAGGTCTCTCGGGGTCAGTTCCGCCGAGGCCTGGCCCGCCCACCTCTTTCCTGGGCCTGCGGGATTTTAACCGCTCGCCGGACGTCACTGCCCAGGCCTCCCCGTGGTGCTTAATGAGGCAGGGGCCGGTGGGGGTAGTACAGGAAGGGGACCTGCAGGGGTCACGTTTTACGTACTGTTTGTATTTGAGACACTGTTGGCTAGGTAACGTGCCAGCTCGGGACTTAACGCTGAGAGAGTGGCTGATCGGAGGCAGGGTTTTCTGCGGTTGATCGTACCTTACTTCCCCCTTCTCCCGTCGTCAGGACAAAAAAGACAAATGGTTAGGGAGAGAGGTCTGTGCTTCGAGAGGGGAAAATGCTGGGGGAGCATTTCCCACGGGCTCAATCACACGTGGAATCTAACACTAGAAAAGAAGCGGGTGTCCAGTTTTCACTGTCTAATTGAATTTACTAGTCTGAAAGGAGGTAGGTTTCGAGGAAGTATGTTAATTTTTTTAAAACTCCGATTTAAGTAGACCCTAGTGCAAACATTAAACATAACAAGTACCTATCTACACAACCGGAATTAATCTTACCTGTATGCCTTGGAAGAAAATTTTTAATGTGATATTAACTAAAATCGCATAAATCTTATGAACTTTTGGTGTGAAGTGCTAATAGTCTATTCGACAGTATGATTAACAAAATCTTAAATATTCACCTCTTAAAATACCAGACATACTGCTGTGATAATCCCAGCAGGACACTACTTTCAAAAGCTGTTTCACAATTTTGTTTCTTTTATTTTTTCTTTCTCTTCTTTTAAGAATTAGCATTTGGGAAGCTTAGCAAAGGGCTGAAAGTTAGATAACATTCATTTGAGTTGGACTCTCCATATTAGAGTACATAGTAGTGACACAGTTATATGAAAGCAAACACTTTTTTTAACCACTTCTTGATATATAGCGCAATAGATTTGAGAATCTTTTTTTCATTTTTATTTAGGAATTTATAGCTGATAATTAGAAAATTTGGTTCTCCCAGCAATACTTTATAGCACGTAAATTCTAGAAGAAAACGTATTTAACGGTACTATATGTTCCAACTTCTTGTTAATAGTTGCACAACTGTTCAGGAAAGAAAACAGCTGTGTAGCCTTTTTGTGTGCTACATACATCACTATAGAATGTTAAACTTTTTAAAAACTATAAAAAAAATCCTTTCTCTCATTTCCATTGCAGTTATTTGATTTTATCCATCCCCCCCCCCCCCCCGTTTTTTTAAAGTTTATTTTTTTTAGTAATGTCTGCATCTGCGGTGAGCCTGGAACTCATGACCCGGAGATCAAGAGTTGCACGCTCTTCCCACTGAGCCAGCGAGGTGCTCCTAGCCCACACCTTTTTGATCGTCTCTCCTGTTTGTCTAGGGGGTTCCTAATATGTATCCTCCCTCACTCCCAGCACCTCTTCCTCCCACAAAATTCTGAATAGGATCTCTCATGTAGTGGATAGAAAAAAGGTGTGGTAGTCACAATAGAGCACAGTGGAATAAAATGATAAATTGGTTTTCGTTTTAGTATTTCCCTTAAGGATAGGGAGCCTAACATTTACATGGCTAGCTAGGTATTTGACCTTTTTTCTCATCTAACCTTTACAGGAATTTGAGATTGGCAGTAGCAGTCCCATTTTAGTGTATGTAGCACTCTCTTCTTTCTCCCTGTGGATTTGAAAGAACTTAGAAGATCTTTTAACTCCTTTATTTACTAACATGCTCAAACTTAACCATGTTTGAATGTGGAGTTAGCTTGATAATAGTAACAATACAGTCACAGAGTTGGGGAAAGAAATTATATTTAAAGAAGATTCAGAAGAATATCCTTTTTATTTTAAACACAAAATACATAATTTTTTTTCTGATTTTGAATATAGTTTTTGTGAATGTCTAATGCTTGCTGATGTAAAAACGTTGTTGCAAGTAAGCATATAATAGGGAATAATTCAGTAATGAATATTTTCCATTAAATCACATATTGCAAAGTGCAAAAATAAAGGAATTTTGAGTTATAGTAGAGTGAATTTGGCTTTTAAAGGCCTATTTAAAATATGAAATGCTTGCTAATTCTCAGATTTTTTAAAGACAATCCACCCTCCCCCTTCTAGCATTGGCTTGAAAATAAGAACATGCCAGAGATACTAAAGTTAAGAATATAGGTTTTTTTTTTTTTTTTAAGATTTTATTTTTAAGTTATCTTTATACCCAACATGGGCCTCAAACTCAAAACCCTGAGATCGGGAGTTGCATGCTCTACCAATTGAGCCAGATGCGTTTCAGTCTGAAAATCCATGACCTTACGTAGGGTATTTATGAGTCATGGTCAACATATGCAACTGCCCCCACTCCCAAGAATCATAATCTCTCAAATGGGTCTGTGGCCTCTCCTTCCCTGTGTTCAGAGTCACTGTCAGAAGATCCTTTATGAGGTAAATTCCTCTTGGCATGGGGTCAATGAGATTGAGGCCTGAAAATTGATACTTAAGTGCCCACTGTGCTAGTTTTGTGAGAAAGCCATAATTTACAGTTAAGCATTATCATTGTGATGAGTTAATCCCATGAATAGTAATGTCAGTTCTGAAATGATGAAAGAAAGTTTGTTCAGATTGGTATATAAGACTCCCTAAGAGTCTATGCTTGACCTGAGCAGTTAACTTTGAAAGAATTATTATCATTACAAGTGCCATAGTTGTAGCTGCTCTAAGATTGTGGCATATCCTTGTTATGAAGGTTTAGAGTTCTCACTTCAGTGAAAAGGGTCTCATTGGTCTGCTTAAATTCCGTTTTTAGGACCACAGTTGGTTGATTACTCGAAGGCAGCAGTTTTATGTGAGCTGCATATCTGTACTTTGTCCTTAAGAATGCCACTGTATGGTGGTCATTATGGTAAGGTTATTGTTTTTGTTTTTGGAAAGAAGGAAGAGAATAGCAATGCGTGACTCTTTCCTTAGAAAACTATAACTTAATTGGAGAGGGCACTTGGATAATATAGGAACTCTTAATACATGGCAAATAGAAGAATCTGTTATGCATTGGTTATGCTTAGGCAAAGTAACTGGAGGAGATGACTTTTACTTGTATATTGGATTCTTTTAATTTTTAAGGACTTAAAAAAAAAAGTGTCAGTACCGTTACTATACTTCAACAAGTTAACACTTTCAGATAATCAAATATTAGTGATCAGGTTTTTTTTCCCCCCTAAGTTCTTTGTATAGCTTGTTGCATTACTATGGTTGTTTTTTCCATCATGATCCATTTCTCTTGCTGCTCAGAAAAGGCTGAGTGGTTAGCTAAAGGCCCAGATATGTAGGTGCGAGATGTGTCAGGAAAATTATTCCAATTTAAATTTTGGATTTACCTTGGTTCATAAATTCTGAGATGATTCTAGTACCTTTTAACATCTTTAGGATGCCTAAATTCTTAGAGTTTTTTGTCTTTAGGACTCTTCAGTTAGTCAGATAGCTTACTCTTTAAACTATTCCAGGATGCAGACTTTCCAGAGTCCCCTTAACATCCAGGACATTTTCCTCTTCCATGCCTTGTCTTTCACATCAAAAGTGAAATCCCATCTCTGCTTTACTCCATTTCCACTTTTGTTTCCCGAGTGTACATTTGTCTAACTACAGGAGTTTATATACTTTTCCCAGCAGTATCTAGTAGTAGACATGGGATGGTGAACAGTGGAAAAGGTAGAGGGAATAATAAAAGCCTGTGAAATCTGTTTTTTATTTGTATGTTTTCCTTTTGTCTGTGGTTCAAGAAAGGGATTTTATGTGAAGCAGCTATAAAACTTTGCATTTTTTTGTTTCATTTTCACCTATCAGGGAATCTCTCTCCTTTTCCTTTCCTTAGTCTTTCCTATTTTAACTTTCCAGTGGGTGTTCTGGCTAATTGGATCAATCAAACCATCTTTTTTTGTTTCTACCTTGTGAAACTCCCTTAAAGATACAGCATACTTAGTGTTGTAAAGGAAGGAACCCTTCACTAGTCCCTCCGTGCCCCAGCGGTTTAGATGAGAATTTCTCAACCTCAGTACTATTGATATTTTGGTGTGGATAACTGTTTGCTGTGAGGAGCTGTCCTGTGCATTATATGATGTTTAGCAGTAATCCTGGCCTCTACCCACAAGGTGCCACTATTGTGACAACCAGAAATGTCTCCAGACATTATCAGATGTCCCTTGGGGAACAAAATAGACCTTGGTTGAGAATCACTGATTTAGTTCCCGTTACACGGTCTTAAAAAAATTGTACTTTCCCTTCTAGTGATTACTGGAAATAACATAGTAATAAATCTTTCCCACCAGACTGTAAGGTTCATGAGGATAGTGACCATATATTTTCTTTTTTTTTTTAATTTTTTTTAAGATTTCATTATTTATTTGAGAAAGAGAGAGGGATAGAGCACAAGCAGGGGCAGCAGCAGAGAGAGAGGGAAAAGCAGGCTCCCCACCGAGCAGGGAGCCCGATGCGGGGCTTGATCCCAGGACCCTGGGATCATGACCTGAGCCGAAGGCAGACGCTTAACCGACTGAGCCACCCAGGCGCCCGTGACCATATATTTTCATTGCTTCATATCCTCAGTACATAGCTCAGTACCTTAAATACATACTGTGTGTCAAAGATTTCTTGAATGAATGAATGAATGATGTACTTGGGATTGAATGACTTGGACCAAGGTAGTTAACATTTCTGGACATTTGGTTTCCTCTGTGTAAAGTAGATGATTGAGTTTATATTTAGGTTCCCTGTTAGAGGATTCTTTGATTAAATATAGAATTAATTTTGGGGAGGACTTAGTACATATAAGGATTTTTTTTTTTTGAAGGTCATTTTATGGCACTGTGGGAGTCTAGGAGATGAGGTGGAAAACTTTAAATCAGAACTCTGATCTTTTTGTAATTTTCACTTATTAAGGAGGGAGCGTTGGGAGGGAGCTATTGCATTTGAAGGTTCCAGTTAGATTAAATCCATCCTAAGCTTCGTTCTGTAATTATGCTATTTTCAAACTTTTTTTTTCTTTACTGTTTTTCAATTTAAAACAACAAATGGTAAAAGTTGTGGGGTTTTTTCCTTATTATTTTAAAAATTTAGAAAACAAGGATAATTGAGATCGATGATAATGATTTTTTGAGACTGCTTTGAGAGTGTTACAGTCTTAATCATTCAAGATAAATATAAAAAATTTTTGGCAAGACTGCAATAGCTCTATCATTTTATTCTAGGCTAGCATTGAGTTTGTTATAGTAATTTTGATTGACATTTAGGGGACATCTGTATTCCCCAGTTTCCTAAATAGTCATATTTTATGATCACTTGCTGCTTTTTTTTAGAAGTATAGTTGGCTTAGAATAAGTGATATTACTATTTGTACATGGAATTTCAGATATCTCTTTCTAGGGCCAGTTTTCCTGTTATTGGACAACTTCTAACTCAAAATGGTATGAGAGAATGTAATCAACCTTGACCTTGAACACTGGCTGAGCTCCTGAACTCGAGTGAGCTCATTTTATCTGGTTTTGTTTTCTCAACATCTTTCTCTACTCCTCTCTCTCAGGATTGTGCCTCTACTCCTGCTTGTACAGACTGCTTTTCCAGCAGCATGGACACAAGAAGCATAGTAAGATGATTATAACGCACATAAGGCAGGCCCTTTGGAAAATATTAGGTTTAAATTGGTAGTGAAATGATGTCTTGATTATATGGGTAGTAATTGGGAAGCAGAATAAAGTTTGTCACTTCAAATGAATTAGTAATCTTAAAGAGAACATGTAGGGAATAGTTGAATTTCTTCACAAATAATAGGTTAACTGAAAAAAAAAGTTATTGTGCTTAATAGTGAACATAAATCATATATACTCTTGTTGCATTTACTTGCATTCTGCTCCACATAATTTTACTGTATTGTAAAAGGAATACAGTATTACTTATTTAACATGAATAAATTGCAAGCTTATTAATTTGATGATTGGGAATAAAATCCATCTTATATTTTGAGGAAGTTCTTCAAACTATAAGATGACAGATCATTGACAGATATGCTGTAGGGATGGAGATACAAAAAAAGACAATCAAATTTTTGGTTTTCTAATTATAGAGGAGCAGATTTTGGTAGTGCTACTATTATGAGAAATAAATGCTGATGAGAAATGTTTCTGTAGCCTGTAATTTCTTATCTGAGTTAATGCTATCTCAAGTTTGATGGTAAACGATGCATTTGTGCTTTGATTTTAATTTTATGCATTTATTTGGTCTTCTAATTCTGCTTTACAAGCATTTCTGATACACCATATTTGAAACTCAGGGAAGGATATGTAAATGCATTCTGGTATCTGCTGTAGGTCAGGAAGTATCTTAGTAACTTTGACATCACTACAGTTAGTCAGTATGGGGAATATAGGATATTAATGTTTTTTAAAGATAGTTATGGCTAGTAAGTTACTGTATTCCAAATTTTTTAGAATACTTCTGCAACTTATTATAATTTACATAGGTTGATTTGAAAGACCTAGCATTTCATTCTTTCATTCATTTAACCAGTGCTGAAGTGCTTACCGTGTACCAGGCATTTTTCTTTCTGCTGGTATACATTGGTAAACAAGACAAACAGGAAGCATACCCTCTTGGAGCTAATGTTCTTGTAATCTTTTTTTTTTTTTTCCCCCCACTTCATCAGCCTTGTGTGCAATGAGTGACCCTGCTGTGGAGCTAGTGAGGCTGTGCAGGCATGGCTGACTGGGGGTTTTGCTGTGGTTGGGCTGGTTGCAGCCCTTCTCTGCAGGCGCAGTTCTGCTTGCTCTTCTCTCACCATTTTGCCTTAGAGTCTAGAAAGCTCGTCTGCTATCCAAAATAGAGATTGAGCAAGTAGACTTATTTAAACATGTTTTCAACAACGGCAAAATAAGATGAGCTACATTAAGTTTTATTTTACACCAATTTTTTTGTCATGTATTTTTAAAAAAATCTGTTTTGGAATATAACTGTTGTTAAAAGATAACAGCTTTAAGAATGTTTCTTTTTGTCAATGAGATATTAATTAGTCTCCAGGTGCAAATGATTTTTTAAAAAAAGCTTAAGTGGTGACCAAACCTTTAGGAATTTGAAAGAATATAACTGTTTTTAAAATGAACTTTTGATTAAGTACATGATAAAATTTGGTCTCTTTCTTATAAACACTTTTTAAATTTGATTGGACTCCTCAGGGCTAATTTGAGTAGCTTGTGAGTGAAAGATGAAACACTTGGATCATGTTTCTTATATCTTAGTGTGTAGAACTTGGGGAATGGTTTAAAGATCTTTTTTATACTGGTGACAGCACCTAAAAGGTTTACTGGTATACCTGAAACTAATACAGTGTTCTCTCAGTTATATTTTAATTAAAAAAAATAAGTTGACCAAGCCCTAGTTAATGGCTTTTTAAAATTTAGTAAGATTCTTACACTATAAAATTTTATGGTAAAAAAAATAGGGTATTTGAATTTATTAAAATATTTGAAGTATATGGGTAAAAAGAATGTTGAATAAGTTAAAATTTTTACAAACCAAAACATACAGTGGTGTCTACTTTCTGTAGTAGCTTTCTGTGATGAAAAATGTCTGGCTTAGGTATTTCTGAAATACTTTTTGTTTACCAGACACTGAAAAGTGAGCCACTTTATAATATAGTGTTTTGTATTCTGACCCTCTTTTCCCCAACCATCATGTTTCAGTGGAATTTTAGGATAAGCTTGTGAGAAAAGTAGGATAGCTGCTATCCTCCTTTTACTGACTAGAAAACGGGCCACCATTGTGATTTTACCAATAAAATGCTACTTTTAAGTATTAGAGCTGAGAAGGACCCCAGGTCTCAACCTCTGGTCGTTTTTCTTACCCTTCTGTGTAAAGGAGAACTATCACTTAGTTTTCCACAATTCCTTTTTACTGGCATAGTGTCTAATTATAAATTAGCTTTATTTTTTCACACTTTTGAACTTTAAAACTTTAGATTTATAGAGTTACAAGAATGATAAAGAATTTTATGTACACCTCATCCTGATTTCTTTACCTAATTATGTTAATTAACCATTTTTGCTTTTTTGTTCACTCTCCACATAAATATGAACACATGCAAACTTTTTTTATGGCATTATGATGGGAAATGCAGTTCATGATGCCTTTTACTTTTACTTTTAAATGACTATTTTCTACAGTGATATTCTTTTACATAGCCATAGTACAGTGATCAAAATCAGGAAATTAACATTGGTATAATGCAATTGTCTGCAGATCTTATTCAGATTTCATTGATTGTATCATTAATGTCCTTAATAGGAAGAGTAAATCCCATACCACATCTTGCATTCATTCATCTTGTCTCTTTAGTATCCCTTAATCTGAAATAGTTGGTTATAACTCTTTCTTTACTTTTTATGACCTTTGATGATGTTTAGCGATAATAGGAAGAGTAAATCCTATACCACATCTTGCATTCATTCATCTTGTCTCTTTAGTATCCTTTAATCTGAAATAGTTGGTTATAACTCTTTCTTTACTTTTTATGACCTTTGATGTTTAGTGATAATAGGCCAGTTATTTTTGCAAGTCTTTCAATATGAATGTGTCTGCTGTTGCTTCATGTTTGGATTCAGGTTATGCGCTTTTGGCAGGAATACTCCAGAAAGTGATACTATGTTCTCAGGAAGCACATGATGTCTGTTTATCCCACTAATAGGGATGTTAACTTTTTTTGCAAGGTTTCTCCATTGTAAAGTTACTGTTTCTTCCCTTTGTAACAAGTATCATTTGGGGAGGTATTTTGAAACTAAGCACATACCTTGTTGCTGGTCAAACTTTCACCCATTTAAGCCACCCATTTAGTTCTTGGCCTGAATCAGTAGTAGGATGATTGCCAAAAGGTGATGTTCTTTGTCATTTCTTTATTATTGGCATTCTATAAGAGTTTTTCCTTCTCCCCATTTATGTATGTATGTATATATGCATATCAGTATGAACTCATGGATTCTTTTTTATTCATTGGGGGGTTTTGATGTAGATTGTCTCAGTTTTGACCAGTCAGAGCTACTTCAGGCTGTCTCTTGTGTCCTTTTGATGTGTGCTCCTTATCTTTTGAGTATTTAGCTTCTTATGTAGTAAGATATTACCACCCTAGCCTTGGAGTCAGTCATTTCTCCAAGGGCCTCTGATCTGGTTTCTTCTTGTGGATACTTATTAATGGATCAAAATAGAATATATATATATATATATATATATATATATACACACACATGTATATATATTTATGTACGTATGTATATCTACATATATATATATATATATAAAGCATAAATTTTTGTTTTTTAACTGTCTGCCTATCTAAAAAGCCATGGGTTCATTCTAGCCTTTCCCCTTTCCAATTCTGTATGTAATTCCTTTCTCTGATAGTGAGAAAACTAGTTTCTGTTATCCACAATGTATTTACATGTTATTCGTTCAAACCTGAAACACACAAAGTAGTTTCAGAATTGCTAAACCATATGTCTCTGAAAACAAACCGATTAACTAGAATTTAATATTTGTTTATAGCTCATTTTTTGTTTAACCTGATGGTATATAGTCAAAATGCTGTGTTCAAAGATGGCTTGGTTAGTTTTTTCCCTTTAATATAGTTCTGCTGTTTGTTTGAAATATAATTAGATTCACTTTTTTTTTCCTGTTTGTGTTCCTTTTTTTTTTTTCTTCATCCATTTTTGTTATTTCTTTAGTATGGAAAGCATTAACCATAAATTAACTTTAATCTTCCCTTTTTATTAGCTTCAGCATTCATAACCACTTATGCTATAGTTAAATTTTTTTTCTTAACATTCTTCAAACCAAATAACAAGCCAAAATTCAGAAATTTAGTTATGGAGAAGGTCTTAGGTGAAAAATCCATTTCTAATAGTGCAGATTCAATTCAAAGGAAGTGTGCAAAACTTTTTTTCTCTCATGAATGGAATCTCCATTCACGGGGGCAATAATCTGTTTCTGTAGAGGACCAGATAGTAAGTATTTTAGGTTTTGTTAGCCACTTAAGGTCTCTTTCACATATTCTTGTTGGTCTTTCACAGTTCTTTTAAAATACAAAAAATGTTCTTGGCTTGAGAGCCTATGAAAATAGGCCATGGGCCATTTTGTGCTTGCTCCTGCCGCAAACTTTGAAACCTGAGAATTTGATTAATAACATGCTACTTAATAAGTCAAAATTATAATTGAGCAAGAAAATATATTCCTTACAGCCTTTATAATCTTACTTGAACATCAAAAACAATTTAAAAAGCTTCCTTAGTGAAAATAATTTATTCAAAAATCTGAGTACTTACCACCAAGTACAGACACTATTCTAGGCTCTAGAGATTTAACGGTGTACAAAACAGATTCCAAAAGAAAACACAACCCCACCCACAAACAACCTCTGCCATCATGGAGTTTACATTCAGTTTTTGTGTATGGATGTGTGCTGGAAATGCATATTTCTTGTTTTTCCTCATTTAGTGACATTTTTATCTGTTAAAAATTGTTTTCATATTACTTGCAAAGCAAACATTTTCCTGAAAACTTGATAAAAAATGCAGCAAAGGGGCAAATTTTAGAAGTTTGACTCAT